TTTTGTGCTTAGCGTTTTTCAAACGCTATGATATACCAACCCAATTTTCAGTACAATCTTTAATAGCAGTTATGAAAAATGAGCTATCGTCATGTGTTATCAATGTTCATTTTTCTTGTAGTGAAACCTGATTGTATAATTTCCATAATAATTTTTCTATTTTAAAATATATTTTTTTGTACAATTAGTAACTTAGAAATAAAATGTTAAGTATAATTTTATAATTTCGATTTTGATAAAAAATATACGTATAATTTCTTTATATATGTATAGTTTTTTTTTACTATGATCTAACTGTTTAAATATATAATATTTATATAATTATCTTTTAACAATTTTTAAGTTGTTTAAAACAAAAATTTTGGTTGGTAGATGGCAAAATCTCTTATGGAAATATAGGTACAATTTTCTTATAATTAGTTTTTTATATTTTAAAATTGTTTACATTTATAATTTTCTTATAATTATCTTTTTACCTTTTTATTAGAAAGGAAAAATTATTTGATACATGGCAAAATCTGAGATCAAAATATTTGACACGTGTCACGATCTCGTGAGTTACTAACTTTGAAAACCATCTTATATATTAAAGGAGAAGTCAAAAGTGCTCACGTTCGCTCTCAGAATATGAGCGGACGTTCCCACCCCCCCCTTAATGAGATTAAATTAGTTAAATTGCCAAATTATTTATAATAAAAAAAACCGGAGGTTTAAAAATTTTAAACAGAAATGTGTGGACTCGACTGCTATAGTTTGGTTTTCTCAGAATATGATCCAAACTTATAGTTTTTTTTGTACCTCAAAATTGGTCCTTTCTATGATGCGTCGTCATCGATATTTTGTTCTCCTTTTTATGTTATGGTCACTTGGAAAGTAAGATCTCATAGATCTTTGCCAATTGTTGATGAGTTTTTTAAACGAGGTTTATAGTTTGATCTATTACAGCTTTTGGTTTTCGTAGTTGTTTGGTTTTATATGCGAGAGTATTATCATGTTTTGATTAGCACCTTTTTCTTTGATTAGGTATATGCACAAACTATTTGGATTGTGGACTTGCGAACGAAGCTCAAAACAATCTCAGGTGTGTCTCTAATCTTGTTTGATCTATGCGTATAAAAAACAAAAAAATCTTATATTGATTTCTTTTTCTGTTTTGTGACTATATAGATACGATCATTGATAGTAGAATTTTTCTCTAGTTTCTCAATTCCTATAGCACTATCATGTCATTGTAGTACTTACGGTTATCAATCCATTTTAAGTGTGATGCAAACAGATGAGATGTGATCAGGAGTCACTAAGTCAAGCCAAGCAGAAATGAGTTTGGTTTTCTAACAGTTCTAAATGATCATGCAGAAAACAGTAAAATTGCAGAAATGGACTGCTATACTCTATCACACCGTCTCACTGCCAAAAGGAAGGGTGTGATCGAGTAAACCAGTGGTCATAGAAACATTGTTAAAACTTAAGCAACAAGTAACAAAGTAAACGAATAATCAAGTAAATGAACAGATGAATCAAATAGACGAGAAATTCCTAAGGATAAGGTAATCGAATGGAGTGGTATCCGTAGCCTATTCAGATGGTTAACAAAACGCAATCAAGTTATCCCTAGACAACATGTTCAACAACAGATCAATTCACTACTATGATAGAAATCCTCAAGCAAAGCTAGCCTAGACTGATTCCCATTAACGGAATCTAACTATGCAGGCAATACGATTCAACCTATTAAAGTCGCTAAACGCTCTAGATGGCCAATCCCTTGGGATAGAGACGAAAATCTCTGGAACTAGTAAATCAAGCATTCCATCAAACACCTTCTGGGTGCGGGAATGCTTTAGATCATATTCTAGTTGATCAGACAGAAATAAGCAGTAAACACAACTAGTCCAGAAGGGATTCAATCAATTCTAGCACTTAACCATCTTAAAGACTACAGATCCCACAACCCTTCTATTCCATCCTTAAGAACTCTAGGTCACTACTCAGACAACATACTCAAAGACATGAACACGAATAACAAAGAAAATTGCATAACTAAAAAGATCAAGAGAAGAGAAACAAAGTGATAGAAGAAATCAAATGCGGAATCTGAATAACTTGGAAGTAACTCGAACCACAAAGTTGCAGAAACAAAGCGGCGAAGGACTTAGGTAAGGTAGAGTAAAAACTAGGTAAAAACTGAGATGTCTCGGGACAAACCCTTCGGGGTCTATTTATAATAAAAATTAGGGAAAACGAAAAGAGAAGCGGTTTGTGAGTCAACTCAACCGGCCCATCTACTGAATGGATCAAGTAGATGATGGGCCAAAATGGGCCGCGTGATCGAGTAAAACTCCAAACCGTGATCAAACACTTCCTCTTCTCCTCTTCTCTTCCTTATGCTCAGGTTGTCTGGTTGAGTACGGGTCAACCAGAAGGATCGAGTAATGTGATCGAGTAGATGGTGATGAGTGATTTGGTGAGTTCTGCAGCCCTTACTCGATCGCGGGATCGAGTAGATTGGCTCCCTTACTCGACCCTGTGATTGAGTATATGGTCTGGATGGACTGTTGAGCACACTGCTTCACTTCAGGCAGAGTGATCGAGTAGATGATCAAACACTTCCTCTTCTCCTCTTCTCTTCTTTATGCTCAGGTTGTCTGGTTGAGTACGGGTCAAGAAGAGGGATCGAGTAATGTGATCGAGTAGATTGGCTCTCCTACTCGACCCTGTGATTGAGTATATAGTCTGGATGGACTGCTGAGCGGACTGCTCAACTCTCTGTACTGTGATCCAGCATGTAGGTCGAGTATACTGTGATTCTGCTCTACTTCTACTCTGTTTGTGCATCAACAGCTCCAAAATACCTGAAATGAATCCAAGATGCAAAATTAAGATGCAAAGTTCATGCAAGACTAATGCAAAACACACAATCATGCAAAGTATTCAAAACAATGATAAATGATATGAAAGATGATTGAAAGTAGACTCAAAACAATGTTAAATGAATGCATAAAACATGCAAATTATAGACATATCAACTCCCCCAAACTTAGTCTTTGCTTGCCCTCAAGCAAACAAGTAAACATAAGCTGAAGGAGAGGTTTGAAAATGGGGATTCAGAGCCAAAGCGCGCTTATAATGTAAATAAAATCAATGTCCAAGTTAGGAGTTCTAAAATGCGAGGTGATGGAATTCTACTTAAAAACTTTAGCCATGCTTGTCATAACGCAATATGATTCTCATCTCAGTTCTACACATGCATTCAAATCAACCAATCCGTTTAGCATTCATTAAGCAAGAATGTGAATCAAGCAATGCATCATCAATGAACTCATTTGGCTAAGGAAAAGGTTATGAGACAAAGATAGTCCCTTTCAGGTTATTCAAATTTAGTGACAGGGGACTCTCAAGAATGGACTAGGCTTTAGAAGAATGCTAAAGGTAAGTGCCAACCTATGCATACAAGAATAACATCCCATCTACCCAATGACATAAAACGTGTATAACTCATTAGATGATCCTATTTCTAAGCCCATGATATGTTCTTAATTCTACCCTTTGCACTCAAGGCGTTTTTTTTTTCAATCTTATCTCGGATCAATCACTCTTTCTTTGATTCTGTTCTAAGGAGAAGTTTTTCTTATACTTGATGAATCTAGCGGATTTGGGTTCTCTTTAACAACTATGGCTCTTGTTTTCTTTCTTAAGAGTTAAGACTTTTTCTAGGCTTTTGCCTTCTTTTACTACAGAGCTCAACTTATTCGACTTTCAATTCCCCAAAATCAATCACTAGACTAACATGTTTCTCATCTTCCTTCTCCTGAAAACACTAACCTTTTCTTTTCTTTCGTACTCGATCCCAACCCAGAAGACGTACCCACCTAGTCCTACCTAGCCAAGAAAATGTGGACTAGAACTACATGAGACAGTACTCTTGTCGGCTCAAAGCTAACACTTTCTACCAAGCTCAATCCTGAAATAGGTCCCACACAGACGAGAAATAACAAAGTTTGAAAGAAAGGGTTGGTTAAGGGTAGGGGAAACTGTTCCAATGATGGAAACAACTACTTGGATCAGCAAGAGTGGTCAAAAGATGAAATAAAATCCAAGTATGCATATGAGTATCCATGAGTTCAAATTTGATGCTTAGACATGATAATTATAAGTGAGATTCAAGTTCAAGTTGATAGGAAATGGCATCAAATCAAAGCAGTGTGATCGAGTATAACATTCAAAACATGGTGCAGCCTTACTTCAATTTCAATCGTTTACGAATCAGACAACTAACAACGAGGGCATTGATTCTATCTAGTAAATTAGCATGCTTACAAGGCTAGTTCATCATAATGCCCTATGCATATGTAACAGTCCTAAATGAATAAAATACTACTCAATCCTAAATGAAAATGCAACTACATGAACACTCAGTTTTTGTGGGATAAATTTTCTGGAATTTTACAAATTTTTATGGTTTTTTCTATGCCTTAGATGAATGCAGACTCAAGTATGCAATGCAAAATTTGAAAACAAGATTCAAAGAAAACACATCAAATACTTCTTGGATCCTCCCCCAAACTTAAATTACACGGTCCCTTGTGTAATAAAAGTTTGAAAGAGAATTCAAGAGAAACACAAGAAAGCAAAAACAAGATGGTATGTACAATGTGTGTTTGAAATGATACCTCAGTTGAAAGCTCTGCTGATGTAGTCGTCCATCTCATCCTGAATGTATTTCCAGGGTATGCTCTACGATTGATGTTGCTCATCAGCTGCCTCTTCTCCATACTCGATCTGGTGCTCGATCGGATGTGCAGGGCGGCGGTCGAGTGAACGCCTGGCATTGAGTATCCTGGCCTTACTGCTTGATCGAGTCAGCTTTGGTTGTCTTCTTCTCTTTTCTCTCGGTTCATGAGAAGAGTGCCTTGCAGGAGCTTGGGGAAGGTTTGGTTCCCTTGGTTCATAGGCGGATTGCCTTGGTGCTTCCGCCTCTCTTCTTCTTGAAGGCATCTCTTATGGCAAGTTGTTCCTCGAAACAGCAGTACGATGTGTTTATCTTGTGCCTTGTTCCAGCCTTGCAGCCTCCTAATGTGCTTGTGAGCTACCGTCAAGCTCTTGCTTTGTCTCACGGGAGCAGGATACTCTTCAAAGTGATACCTTCCCCTGTCATACTCTTCCTCGTTAATCTCCTCGTCCTCATTCTCAGCCTTGGTGATGTCCATGGGTTCAGCTCCTCCATTGGTCTCGTAGAGAACCTCACCAGGCGGTCTGAAATCGATGCTGTCTCCCTCGTTGATTCTGGTGAATGCTGGGCAAGAGAGGAGGATTTTTGAGTCCCCAACTTCTGGATGAATGAAATTCCCGACGTGCTTCTCCTCCTTCATCTCTCGGTCTAGCGAAAGAGTCTGTCTTACATGGTTGACATTGATCCACCTTGGCAAAATCTCCTTTGAAACCAAAGGTACTCCGCAGACCATTAGTATGGGCGTTACCAATCCGCCCGTTACTAATCTGCCCAAACACATCATTCCTTGGGCGTTCTTCTTGATGTTAGTCACTGCCCATGCTCTGTAACTTAGACTGATTAGTAAAAAGAAGATGATTGAAGTGTCTAACCTATCTCCTTTCAGCTCGGTTCCATCCTTGGCCGAGTATAACAACTCTTTCAGTGCCAATACCATCATCTCCATTTCTCCATTAGTGACCGGACCTATGGTCTCTCTGGCGAAGAGGACACTTGCTAGGGATTTGTGGAAGTAGCGAACCACTGGACTCCTTATAGCACTGCTCGTAGACCTTGCTGAGAAGAATCTGATGTCATCTCCAATTATCTCCCAGAGTGCTATCAATTCTCTCCTTTCAATCTTGTGACCAATACCTGTTCCGCTGGAGAATCCGAACAGATTCTCTAGCTGCTTGATGGTGGTCATGTACTCTTGGCTATGGATATTGAAGGTGATATAACCGAGCCCATATTCTCTTTCTCTTCTGCTCGATCGCTCAGAGAACAATTCCACTTGGAAGGATGAAAGGAATTGGATCATCTCTTCTTGGTATACGCTGTGAGGATGGTTCATGAGGGTGAACAAGTGAGTCTGCTCACAGCGGTGCTCCACATCTTCACAGATATCTAGCTCCATCATGGTGTCCGAATGAGGGTACCTTGTTCCAATGAAGCGTTGCTGTCTGAAGGCGTTACAATACTCCTATAGTGAAAGCTCATTCTTTTATTTCTTTTTCCAAGGCTTGGTTGCTGCATTCTGAATTGAGTCACCATCAGTAAGCTGCCTAGAGTGTCTCACCTTCCTCTTTTTCCTGGTAATGTCCTCACGGAACCCCGAGTATTCCGCACCTTCTCTTTCTGGAAACGATGTTGACCAAGACTCTGCATCTCCAAGATTGTAGTCCTGGTCTTGGCTCGATTGGTAGCTCATCTGGTCATTGTATGAACTCATCTTTCAGACTGAAACAAATCAAACTCAAAACTACAAATTAGTAGGTTAGTGAGTTCAAACAATTCAAAACCAAGATGGAATAAAGAGTAATAGCTTGGGTGAGAGGTATGGATCGAGTAAATTGACAGTCGTAGCTTAGAGTGCGATCGAGTAAATCTGAAACGGAGCTGATGGAAGTGGTTCTGAGACGGCGTGGTCGAGTAGAGAGGTGGCGACTGAACAATCGGTCGAGTAGAGAGGTGGTAGTTGAATAGAGCGGTTGATGGTGGTGGTGAGTTGATAAACAGACTGAACAGACATGGATGATAATACGATGGAGGTCACGGTCGAGTAAAATGAGGTGTAGAGGAAACCGGCGTGATCCAGTAGGTAAACGGCGGAGGCGGTAAAGACGGTGAATGGAGGGCGTGGTCGAGTAAACTTAGCAAAGAGAGGAGAGTGAAGCTTTGAAGGTTAAGAAAGAATGGATAGTGTGTGCTTCTCTTTTGATGCGGACATCGACCTTACTCCCCAAACTGCTGAACTACATCCTGTACTACATCCTGTGCTACATCCTGTACTACATCCTGTGCTACATCCTGTACCAGAAGTCCGAGAAAGTTCCATGACACGTTCAAAGTCTAAACAATTCAAGAAATTAAAAGGTTTAATTTAGCTGTGCAAGACATTCTAAGCTGCTTAGAAATGAAGGAAGTAAACTGGTTCGTAGCACCCCATACCGGATATGATCCAATAGCCGAGGAAGAGCTTGCTGAAACTTTCACCCAAATGAGTCTTGAACGAACTACTCCCCAAGGTATGAAATCTTCTGTGTTAGGTCTAGAAGCCCCTAGAAACCAAGAGAAGACTTTGGAGCTACAGGAGACGTACGAGACAAGCTTCACTTCCGAGAGTGATCAAGAGAGTCAAGAGCAAGACCAAGACACCAAGGACGCGGAAGAGCTCCAAGACACTGATCAAGATACTCAAGAGGAAATCCAGGAAGGCCCCTACTTCAAGAAACCAACAAGTAAACGAGCACAAGATATGACTCCTGAAGTAGGTCAACGAGTACTACAAGAAGTGACTCAGAGAACGTCTATTGGGCCTAAAACGCATCCCGGTAAGTTTTATTCAATTTATGTTATCTTTGCAGGTCCAAGAAGACCACACAACGGCTAGATTCGTCACCACAACGTGCTCCTCAAGAGAGTTTAAGTAGTTTCCTTATTTAGTTTATTTTCTTTCTAAAAATAATGGTTTTTGTGTTTTGCTTTTATTTGTTTCCTTGTTGCGTTTTTGCATTTAATTTTTAGCCCTAGGGCTAGCTGAAGGACTCTTATAAAGTCTCCCTGCAGCAGTTGTACGATTTTCACCTTTGATTATCAATAAAGAACCCGAATTTTCTTACTTCTTCTCTTTAAGTGTTCTTGAGAGAATAAGCTTGTTCTTTGTCTTGTGTGTGTGATTCACCAAGACTGAGTTCGTGTACTATATCAGAGACCAATCACATCTCTGTGGTGTACTTCAATCCGCCATCACTTTCCTCTATTTCGATCCCACACCACCCCTGGTGTCGGTCGACACCAATATCTTACGGCAATGCAATTTCGAGTCTCTTTGAAGTTATGAAGATTTGCAGAATCACCCCAGTACTTTTCCCTATTTTCAAAGAAGTCTCTGCATGTTTTTAAGAACATATATATAGATTTTTAGGGTTTTGTTTTTGAGACATCTCTCATTCTATTATTCTGTTGTACTTTTTAAGAGCTTGAACCCTTTGGGAGATAATTGGAGAGAGCTCCTCCAGAGAAGATCTTTCTTAACTCTATTCTCTTCTTTGTTTTCTTAATGCAATCTTATTCAGTTATGTTGTTTGTTTCATTCATCATGTCTGAGTAATCACCCTGTTAGGTTTAGGGATTCTCATTAGGGATTTAAATGAACTAGTAAATTTATTACCTGTTAGGATTAATCCATAGAGTTCTTCATCTAGGTTGTTCTTAATGCTAGTTCTACAGTAGCTAACTAGAACTTGATCATAGGATAATAGGTATTTGATCCGAGAGGGCACCTGTTACTGGAACTACCTTAGATGAGCAAATATTTCTAGATGCATCGAGAGTTGGTCTAGGAGAATTTGTGAACATATCAAACTTGAGGTTAATGCTAGTCTAGATCTAGGAATTAGCATCAAGAGGTGGAATTACTGATATTAGATTAGTTAGTTAGCGCATCGAGAGGTGGTTAGCTATTCATTAGTGTTTTGAGTTCTAGAACAGTTCGTTAAATAATCCTAATTAATTTGCTAGATTTATTATTAATTTATTTTCTGAGAAATCCCTAAGCCTGACGTTTTCCCCATCTGATTTACATCTCAATTTCAATTACTTGTTTTATTTTAATTTGGAATCTTTACTTGTTTAGCTTAATTCAAAACCAGTTAGTCTATTGTGTGAACACGAGAGCTTTGTGGATTTCGACCCTAAAGTACTGCAATCGATCTCTTATTTGAGAGAGTAGTCTTAGGTCTTAATTTGACTCACATCAAATTTGGCGCCGTTGCCGAAGTTCTCTTCGCTTTACCATTAGATTAGGTGTAGAATTTAGTCTAAGCTTTTATTTTCTTTTGTTACTCACGTGATTTTCTTTCTTTGGTTTCTTGTGTTTCAGGAACTTTAGGAATTCAATCACAACAATGATGGACGATTTTGACAAGAGTGTCGACCGACACCAACTGGGTGTCGATCGACACCACACGGGCAACAGGCCAATGATGTTTGCTGATTACAATAGACCCGATCTCTTCTACTCCAATCGATCAGCGATTAGACCACCTCCACCTGCAAAAGCTGATTTTGCGTTCTAACCATGGTATTATGATCTCGTTTCTAAGAACCGGTTTGACGGTTTTGAAGGTGAATTGCCTTTTGATCACATCGAGAAATTCGAGGACATGGTTTCAAGCATCAAGGCAGAAGGCATTCCAGTTGACTACTTGCTTTGCAAACTCTTTCCATACTCTCTTGGAGAAAGAGGAAAGATCTGGCTTAGACAATTGAGACCAGGATCTCTAACTACTTGGCAGAAAGTTAAGGACGCGTTCTTAATTCACTTTTATGATGAATCAATGTCCGAGGAAGTGAGATTGCAGATTTCTTCCTTTTCTCAAGGTCTTAGAGAGTCTTTCAAAGCAGCTTGGTAAAGATTCGGAGCGTATCAGAGAAATTGTCCACATCATGGGTTCAGTGAAGTTCGTTTACTTGGCATATTCTTCAAGGGCATTGACTATTGTTACCAGGTCATATTAGATACAGCAAGCAATGGTAATTTCACTACGAGGACACCCAGCGAAGCAACAAAACTTATTGAGAGTTCTGCTTCTAGCTACGGCATCAGAGGCATTGATAACAAGAGACGTCAGAAAGCCATAAGAGTTGATTTTAAGCACCTGGAACAGTCTGAGGTCCAATCTGTCCGCATCGAGCAGCCCGCCCAGAGTACCACCCCAACTCCATCGTCTACCTGCAATATCGAAGCTATGCTCGAAGCAATCTTTACCAGAATTTCAGCTTTGGATAGTAAGGTTAACAACATGAGTACTCAGCTTTACAATACAACGTTCTCCAACGCAGATGTTTGTGCAGATCAGTTGAGGAGTGGACTTCAGCAAACGATCTCAGAGATGCCCCTCATGACTGCTTGTCTTGCTGTTTTGACGGAACATGAAGATGCGCTCGTGGAAGTTTAGGAGAGTGCT